TGTGTGTGTGTGTGTGTGTGTGTGTGTGTGTGTGTGTGTGTGTATATGTGCAAGCAGCCTCAGTCAGGCCGGTCAGCGCAACTTACGTCACTGTGGTCAGCTGTGGCTCTCTTGCTTTGCTGCCATTGCTCAAATTCTCCCTTCGGCTGGCCTGAAAAGCTGAGATGAGATTAGCGCACAAGCAAACAAGTGTGTGCAGTCCTGAGCTAAAAATGAAGCTCACACAGCTTCGGGAATAGCGCGAACACAGAAAAATCTCAGTTTTGACATTGCGTCACATTTTGTTTCAGTAATATGAAACCTGAAAATACTGTATGCGGTGCGGAAACCTTGTGCAATATTAATATCGTTACATGGCAGAAGCCAAAGTTGGGCAGAGTGGTGTGTGTATTTCTGGCCTTTAGGATATAAATTCTCATCCAACCAAACATACATTATTTTAGACAGTGAGGCTGTAAATCGGGGCTCTAGCAGCACAGTAATGTAGGGCATGAAGGCATTTTATGGAAAATCTTATATTCAGTAACGATGTTTGTTCAAATGATTAACATAGTAATTTCTTTGTTTGCATACTTTATTTGTTTCTCTTACAGATCTATGTATATAAAAGACAAAGTATTTTCTCATAAATCCACAGAGCACTGGCTGTGGGGCATTATCTGCAACATTGTGCAGGTTTTGATTTAAGCTTTGTCTTACACATTTGCCAGATTTGTCAATTTCCCTCAAAAAGAGAACATCCCCTGACATGTCTACAGCTCTGAACATATGTTCTTTGCTACCCTGTCAGCTCTGGAGAAAAAGCTGGCATGAGCAGTATCTGCTGTCTACTTTTCATTTGAATTCAATAGCCATTATCTAGACTGATATCTTAGTTAACATATCGGCAAACTCTTAGGCCTCGAGGCTGTTCCAAATGACAAAACTTGATCTAAAACACTAATTATAACAACGCACATTAGTCTGTTTTGAACTTCATCAACCAGCAATTCCATGATAATTTGT